TATATATTATGTTGTCATAAATTCCTCTATAAATGTCATAATTATTCAATTTGGAGGTATAATAGCTTCATTAAAAGCCTTCAAAAATCTAAGTTATCAATTGATCGAACAATCCTTTGTTTTTGATTGTTGGCCCACAACATAATCAAACAGTTTAATTATTAAAAAAAAAATCGAGATTTTTATTAAAATGAACACTATGGAAATTGTATTTTAATTTTCTTAAATATAAATTTTATGAGATTCTTTTTCTTTTTATTGGAAAATAAGATTAGGGCGATTAGGCTAAAGTACCCCCAACGAAGTGGTGAATAATTAGAGATTTGCAATTATAAATGGGGTCAAATCGATATTAAAAGAAGTTGAGGGGAGCAAAACGGAAAAATAAAGAAAAGTATACCCTGGTATAGATTCAGTAATGTTGAACCGATTTTGGTTGGCTGGCTGATTTGCTTGTTTGAGTTTTGCTGACTGCTCCTTCGTCTCCGCGGGCTCCACCCATCACCACCCAGGAAGGGGAAGAGAATTTTAGAGAGAGAGAGAGAGATAGATAGATACACGAACTGCGTCTCTCTTTACTTCTGCTTATAGGTTGCGTTTTTTTTTTCTCGGGCTTTTTTGCCCTTTTCCCCCTTTGTTTTCCTGTAATTTTTTCTGCTGTTCATCCGTTCTGCGACCTCTTTCAGGTAGGTTTTCGTCTGCTTATTCTTCGATTTTGCCGGCGTTCGTTTTTTTTTTTTGTTTTGGCGTAATTTCATAGTTAGGTAAAGATTTAGGCAATTTTTATTTTTCTGGTTAATTTCCGTTTGCTTGCGAATTAGGGGTTTTAATGCTTAAAAAGAATTAGAGGCTTATAACCCTAGAAAATCATTCATCTTGTGTCTCTCTCTCTGCCTAACTGAAAAATCTAGTTCATATGATTATCCGAGCAGTCTCGCCTCAGCAGGGCGAAATTGCAGTTAGAATGGTGATAAGTGTGGCTCTGATTAGTCTGGATATCTTGTGCGTGGGCGATTGTTTTTATGTTGTGCCATTGATGAATTGGAAATGAATAAGATAGATAGGAATTGGCGGTGATGAATTGGAGATGTATAAGATAGAGAATACATGTTTGTAATCTGTTTTCTGTGATAAATGTTGGTCCGCAATGATTGTTACTCTGTGATTGTGTTCGTTCTCAAGACTTATATTCACATTAATAGTTTTAATCACTCTCTTTCTGCTTGTTGTTCCACTGTCATAATTCAGTAATACGATGATGTTTACATCGTGGCGTACTCACTATGAAATGTACTCAGCTTCTGCATCAAATGATCTTTATATAAAATAAAAAAATTATCCCTTAGGATTGCCTTTGCCCCTTCAAATTTGTAGTTTATCTTTTCTTGCACCAACTTACTTTTTCCCTCGTAGATTCAATATCAATATCAAGCATTTCATTGCGAGAAAATTAATTTCCATTAGTTACTCGATATACTTCCATAAGAATAAATTATAAATTTCCTCCGTTTTTTATTGTGACAGGTTTTTTTTTCTTCTAGTAATGCCATCAGCAATGAGCTAAACTCAATTCCTAGCTTACCTCTCTAACTGAGAACATTGCATGATGGCTAGAAAACGAAGCCAACAAAAGAATGGGTTGGATCAGCCCTCACAAAGCCATAATAAAGGAGTTACAGATCCTGGCCTTTCACCTTTAACTAGCAAAGATAGAGGTAATGCGAATGAAGAAAATGTGGGTTTAGACAAAGAAATTCCAAATGGTACCCATTCTCCGCCTCCCACAAAGAGCATTAATGACATGGATCATGTTCAAGATGGTAAAACCAGTAAGAAAAAATCTAAAAAATCTCACAAGAAAGAGAAAAAAGTTGCGGATGAGACAGTTACAGGCCATGCAATGCCATGTAATGATGATGCTGAGGTAGACAAGAGTGGTAAATCTGCAGCCGAAGCTTCGAATGTAAGAGATGAAAGTGAGTTGTCTAAAGATCATGGTTTAGAAACTATGAATAGTTCTGGCAATTTATCACATAGAGATGAAGGCTCAGAAGATGTGGAGTTCCCAGAAACTATGGTTTTTAAATTCATAAGGACTGCAGCGGTTTCTGTAGCAAAGTTATCAGCCGAGTGGGTACAGAGGCATAAACCTACTGTTGCTAACCTAAAGTCCAATACTCTTAAGGCTTGTGATCATGTCCGAATGAAGATTCGGCATGCACAACCTATCGTATTCAGGTGGATTAAGCAAATTGGAAATATAATGCTTCTTCTGTTTATGGTTTGGTTGGATTGTAGTTTGAGGGGCATTGATTCGTTTATCCGCATGGGGACAACATCAGTTTTCACAATTGTATGGTGTAGTGTTCTTTCAGTAATTGCCATGGTTGGAATCGGAAAGTTTCTAATCACACTGGTATGTTATTTCCCCCCTTGTAAGTCATATCAATGACTCGTCTATGTATACACTATTCGTACCGGAAAATCTTGTAAAGTTATTTCGGGCACAGCATCTGTATTCCATGATTTTCTGAGATTTGTCTAGGCATATAGCTTCTATATGATTTATGAAATTAACTTGGTTGTGTTCAATGCTATTAATCAGCAGTTATATCTGTCATTGTTTTGAATGAACTCCAAATTGAAGGTGTTTTTCTTTTCTGTACGATTTTGATCCGGGAGTATCATCTTTTAGTCTTGTTATTTTTGTTTTTAAATGTCAACTTGGATGTGGATATGGATGTAGATATGTGTGTGTAAGAGATAGAGAGAGACAGAGAAAGATAGATTTATGTTTTAAGGATTCAGTAACATCCGCAGGTTTTCAGTTGATGTCTAGTAGTTTGGTTGTGTTTCTTATCTGTTAATCATGGATATTGCAGGCTGTAGTTGCTGCGGTTGGACTATTTCTTGGGTTCACGCTTGCATTAGTACTGACTGTCATCACTGCAATAAGTTTCTTATGGTTTTATGGAAGCTTTTGGACTACAGGGCTCATTGTAGTCCTTGGAGGTGATCAGAAATCATTTTTCATTATTTATATGCTTTTTTTATTTTTCTCCATGTGGAGGTCTTTGGAGTTTGTATTTTAAGTGATATTCATGTCGAGTTTGCAATCTCGGGAAAATGCAGGCTTGGCATTTCTAACAAAGCACGACCGCATCGCACTCTTTCTTGCAAGTGCGTATTCCATATATTGTGCAAAGAATTATGTGGGATGGCTTGGCTTAGTTGCGGGACTGAACTTATCATTTATATCAAGTGATGCCCTGCTTTTAATCCTGAAGAATATCATAGATGAGCAAAGAATGCCAAACAGCTCTCCAGAACAAGCAGCTGGATTTCAAGGCCAACCTTTCTTTACTCCCGACGAGGCTTCACCGAATGGCATCGGCACTGCTGGTCTACGGGCTGATCGTAGCCCGGGAGTTCCTTCAACTAGCGGATCTGATTCTGAAATAACGTCTGAAAATGAAATTGTCAGATTGTTGAATTGTGGAGATCATTATGCAGCATTGGGATTGACCCGGTTTGAGAATATAGATGTATCAATTATCAAGAGGGAGTATAGGAAAAAGGTGAATGTCCACATAGCTTGATATCATTAAAACTAGTACTTGACAAACTACCAAGAAGATTTTAAATAAAATTGACCGATTACTTTTGGTTTTAGGCTATGCTTGTTCATCCTGATAAAAATATGGGCAATGAAAAGGCTGCTGAAGCTTTCAAGAAACTTCAAAATGCATATGAGGTAAGTTCTCTTTTTTATGTAAAATATTTTCTTGGTAGTTGAAGTTGTTTCGTATTGTAATTCATGTATATGAGAAGGGATTTTTGTTTCCATAGGTGTTACTTGATTCCTTAAAGCGTAAAGAATATGATGACGAATTGAGAAGAGAAGAGCTGCTGAATTATTTTCGTAAATTCCAGAACACTTCCAACGAGGTTTGCTCTCTTACCCTATTTCACTTTTCTAATGTAGAACTTCCAATGGATTCCATTTTCTGCACTTCTGTTTGGTAATTGCATTTTGTTGTATTAAGGAACACCCGAGAACTCCTAAGTTGCGTATGGCTAAATTTCTTGCTATTCCAACGTAAAAAGCAGAATAAATGAGATACTTCAGTTTATAGTTTGCTTAAGCCTTTTCTTTCTTGTTTTTTTTTTCCAGAATAAAGGGCATGGTTTGTTCAAGTCCAGCTTTGCTCGCCCAGAAGGTGATGGAGAGGATCCATTGGGAGAGTCTAGACATATCGCATGCAGAAAATGTGGCTTCTTTCATTTGTGGGTATATACTACAAAATTAAAATCTAAAGCAAGATGGTGTCAGGTATTTCATCCTTTCAATCTCAACTAATTAAGTTATAAAAAAGAACACGTGTATTTTATATAGACGCTACTTTGGTTTAAACTAAATGGAAATAGATCTTACGTGATTCTGATAGTTGGGTTTTCTGGTATTATATTGAAAGGAATGCAAAGATTTTCATCAGGCTAAAGATGGGGATGGATGGGTTGAACAGTCATCACAGCCCCTTTTCTTCGGAATTCTACAGCAGGTATATATGTGTGTGTGTGTCTTTTAAAAACGTGACACTTTCGAATTCTTAATACCCTCAAATATTCCTACCAATCTTTAATCAATAATTATTAGGTACAAGCTCCCTCTGCATATGTGTGTGCTAGTGGCAAAGTATACAATGCAACCGAATGGTACATTTGTCAGGTGAGATTTTCTTTGTTCAACGATTATCAAGAATGAATATTTTTTTGCTTATTCTGATTGAATACGATTTCTTTCGTATATAGGGAATGAGGTGTCCTGTCAATACACACAAGCCGACTTTTCAAGTGAACACTAATGTTGTCTCAAAAAACGGGAATTCAAAGGGTTCGTCTAGTTCAGGACAAAGACAAAATATGGAGGAGACAATGACAGAGGAGGAATTCTTCGAGTGGCTACAAAACGCAGTACAAAGTGGGATGTTTGAGAATTTTGCAGGCACTTCGTCTGAGAATTTTAACCCCAATAGTGGTGGAGGAACTGGAAACAGCAGTGCAAATAGCAAAAGAAAGAAGAAGGGAAAGAAGCAATGGTGATTAATAATTAATAATACTATCCATGTGTTTTTTTTATCTTATCCCCTTTTTAGCCTACCAATCGACAAAAGTACTCGTTAACTGCTACTAATTGTGTACTGACATGAGTTTTAAATACATGACTGCTGTGTTGATTATAAGAGATTGTATAGCATTCCGTCCCGTAATTCTTTTTTCGGACGGTTTTGCCCCCACGAAGATCTACCTAAATATGGCCATCGAGTGGACTCGTGGCATATTTTTGTTCCCGAGTTTTACGAGCAGTAATTTTACGTGGTCGAATGAAAATCTTTTGCACCACAATAAACACAATGTGATACTATTTCATTTTATTTACATTCTTGCAGATTCTGTTGTGGGAAATGATCCAAATAGTAAACCAAAATATAATTAAACAATTTTACAAGTTATTGAAAATCATTAGTCTGTAACAAAATTATATATACATTTACATATCATCACTACTGAAATAATGCAAAGGACAAATGTATAATTTGTCATCTATACGAAGTGTGCATTGCAAAACCCTAGCCTTCCTCAGTGTAATTAATTATCTGCAACATTACAGAAAAACAAAGAGTTAACTCATGATCAAGAAACCATCAAAAGCAGAAATAACCGACTATAACACAAGCAATTTAACCTTCAATTGATACGTAACGAATTATTTTCAATAAAATTGAGGAGACGCTTACTCAATGAATCTATCTGAATGTGTATTACACCGTTGATCTGAATTTCTTCCAAGGCAGATCAAGGGCCGAGATTCTTTTGAACTTCTGCATCGGATAAACTAGCCAACACACCATTCATACGATCCACTGCTCCGAAAATTCCAATCTTGCTAACAAAATTCCGAACTAAAAAATTCCACAACGAAATATTCGGTAATATCCCATCACTTATCATTCTTTCAAGATAAAAATTAGCTGCTTCCAAATCAATCTGCTCACTTATCCCACATATAAGACTAGTGTAAGCAACTATATCAGGACACAACCTTTTCTCTCTCATCGATTCCAATAACCGAGTGGCGCATTCAATCTTACCATACTTACAATACGCATGGATTAGCGTATTTAATGTAAAAGCATCAATCTTTATCCCCTTTATTATCATCCTCCCCACAAGCTTATTTGCCTCGTTAAGCTCACCACACGAACATAAACCGTGTATAATCGTATTGTACGTCACTAAGTTAAACTTTACACCTCGTTTCTCCATTTCACACACAAGCTCAAATGCAAGTCTATTGTTTTTCGATTTATACAAACCGTCCAACAACTCGTTATACGTAGTAACATCGGGCCCGCACCCGTGTTTCTCCATTTCATCGAACAACTCCACAGCCCATTCGACTCTGCCTTTAAGACACAAACCTTTGATAAAGACATTGAATGTAACTGTATTTGGCGGGCACTTTTCCGACACCATAGTTTCGATAAGATTATACGCTTCTTCGAATAAAGAATTCCCACATAGTGCGTCTATCATGCATGTATACGCTACAACGTTTGGACGACAATTAAAAGATACCATCTTGTTCCATATTTCAGATGCACCAACCAAATCCCGTGATTTAGCAAAACCATCGATTAGAGTACTATACGTTGTTATATTTGGATTGCATCTATTTGCCTCCATTTTATCAAGAACGGACAAAGCACCATTCATATTGCCAGCTAAGCAGAGGCCATGAATAAGTGTATTGTAAGTAATTTCATTCGGAAAAATTCCATCTTTGGACATTTGAACAAACACATCGTGTGCTTCGATCAATCTACCTTTCAAAGATAGCCCCTTTATCAACGAAGTAAACGTGTGGGTGTTTGGATTACATCCTCGCACGAACATTTTAGCCAAGATCGCGAGAGACAGCTCAATATTACCCGAACCAGACAGAAAATTCAAAATCGTAGTGTATGTAATAACATTCGGAGCAATTCTCCTTTGATTCATCTCATCCATCAAATCGAACGCTTTCTTGATTTTCCCCCCACGACAATATCCATTAATCAACGCATTATAAACAGGCACACTAGGGGCAAATTTGGACATCAAATCTCTTGCCTCTTCCACCTCACCGTATTTACACAAAAACGAAACAATAGTTGTACAGCTCACACTATCAGGCTCACACCCCTTATTCGACATCTCCTCAAGCAACTTGCGGGCCCCACTCAAACTATTGTTCTTACAAAGGGCCTTCAACAGAATATTATACGTATACACGTTCGGCTCCAACCCATCTTTCTTCATATTACCGTATATAGGATTGATCATAGAAAACCTATTCTCACTAAGCAATGCATCCAATAAATGGTTATACATCTTAACCGTCGGCACACAGCCAAATTCACGGATCCTATAAAACGTTTTCAACGCTTGCTCCGACGTCCCACACTGACTATAGGACTTAATTATACTAATGAATAAATCTTCCGAACAATTTACGCCTTCCAATTTCATCTGCTGCAAAAGGTACTGCACGGAATCCATTTCACCGTTGTGACCGAGTTTTTCGATCATGGTTCCGTACGTCAAAGGGGTGTGCTTAAAAGAGCATGAATTGGATATTGATTTGAAATAATCCAATGCTACAGTGATGTCATTTTCATTTTTCAATCTTTTCAAGACTTCGGATTCTTGAATAAAGATCGGACCTTTATCATTCTGCGGCCGAAAATCAAGAACTGGGTTTGTGCTAAGGACAAAAGGGATTGAAGGCTTATGCATTTTTTTTAACAACAAAGAACAACCCTCCTTCAAATACATAATTGCTAAATTTTAAAATAAATAAACAGCAATTTAAAATGTGAAAACAAAAATCAATAACAACTCAAATTTATTGGGTATAAAAAACAAACACAGAAGCTAAATCGTAAAGGATAAATATCTGAGGTGTTCTTGAGAAGTGGGGTTTAGCTCAAAAGGCGCATACATGAACACATTTAAATAAACAGAAAAGGTTGAATTTTTATGATAAATAAACAGAAAATATAGCTCGAAATTACCTCAAAAATTAAAAAAATTGAAATGGAATAATCAAATTCAGGCACTCCCTCCCTTGATTCTGCGTTCAACTGAATTTTGGCCAAGGAATTTTTTGCTCAGGTTCATCGTTAATATTAATGGGCCGGGTTATGGGCCTAAATAAGCCCGTAAGAATATAACCCGGTTCAGAGTCGGATCTTCATAATACAAACCCGGGTCAACACCAAACTCGATTTACAAAACAAGTTCAACCCGTATATCACTGAATCCGGAGTCGCGGAGAAAATTTCACCGATCGCTCTCGTCTCCAGCTAAATTTCTGAAGGTATTGCTTACGCCCTAGATTAGATTCTTGTACGTATATTTCGTATATCGACTTCGTAATTTTCAGCTTGATTTATTTCTTGAAGTGTTAATAGCTGCTCCGTTTATACACAGATCTGTTTAGCTTCTGAATTACTGCCTTCCGTTTTTAATTACATATATTTAGTTGATTTCGTAACCTAATTGAAATTTGATACGTTTATTATGGGTTTATGGTACTAGGATTTTGCATCTACGTTTTTGTTTGGCTTGAGAAAATCGAAAAATACCTATTTTTAATTTTTTTATTATTTACAATTACATATGTTGTTAATAATGGGTTGGAATGTGGGGGATTTGTATGTCGTTAAATTAATTTTATGTTTGTTACTGATTTCATAATGACTCATGCTTGCTTGTTATAAGTACAATGTTCACTGAAAAATTCATGTTTTATCGAAACTTGGAAGCCTCGTCAGAAATCGGACGGAGCAAAAGGCATGGACAAAAATAAATCAAGTGACGCCTTGGATGAGATACCGACTTTCAATGTCGATAATATTCAAAACAACACGAGAATTATTAATTACAGGTTTGCTCGTTACCTCACTTTTCTGTCATTTCATTTGAATCGCTATTTTCCGATTCCGGTTTTATTAGATTTAGAGAAGTCTGTAAAAATATTCTGAACCACGGTCATTTTATTCTGTTTCAGCCGCACATTTATGTCAATTATAGGCGGAGTTATTGCCGGAATTTTGGGAGTCAATGGGTTGACTGGAATTGTATTCTATTTCCTTGTCATGGCAATTACTACCGCGGGACTTGCTGCAAAGACTGAGTTTTCTGTTCATTCTTATTTTGATAGCTGGAACAGGATTGTATTTGACGGCATTTTAGGCGGACTTATGGTATGCAATTCTTCTTCTTCTTTTTTTTTTATTTTTTTCTATTATTATTTTTATGGATGTTCCCAGCAATGATTTATTAGCTGTTTATACATGAACACGTTACATTCTTGTATTATGCTAATTTCTCATATTGATATTTTTGTTTTGATTTTGGGCTACTATAGTTGACTCTATTGGTTCTTTACGGGCTTTAATTTTTTTGCTCAAGTCGGAGATTTTATCTTAGATTGTGGTTAGCTTATAAATAGTGGCTAGTCTTGCCTAGGATATAATTCCTTGGACTATGACATTATTAATATGATACACTTATCGTGCTCGCATTAGTGTTTGCTGTAGTTCTAGTTTGATAGAGTTAGCTTTTATCGGAAACTTGTGTCGATTTAAGCGTATACGATAAGTGTAGGTTGCAAAAAATAAACATCCCCAGTAAAGAATGTATCTTATCTATTTTCTTGATCTGTATTTGATACCCATTGTCAAATGACATCATAATGCATCTATTCCTGTCTATTTTCATTCCCGCATTTTTTTATATTTTCTTTATCTAATTCTAGCTTCTTTTTTGTCTCGTGCAGTCGTTCGTGCTATTCTGGACGTATCCTTATTCTCTAATGTCTTAGATTTGACAATTGTAGCTTATTATATTTATTTTTCTCATGTTTTAGACTAACTTTAAAACTGTAGTATAATGAGCCGATCCCTTAATTGCATCGACCTCCACATTGCTAAGATTTAACCATCAAATTCCTACTATTAGAACTACACTAGGTGAAGTTTTTTTCTTAGTTGAAGACCACGTCGCCTTAATCGCAATAACTGGATTTAGTGCACAATCGAGTGCAGTATCTTAACTTCTCATGCTGATAAATACTACTCTTTATCTTTTGATTTCATTTTCGAGATTAATTCCGCATTCATATCGATTATTGCTTCATTTCCTTGACGTTGAAAAGATTTGCCTATGACATGGTTCATATTTTCTAAAGAATCCACAGCGAAGATTTGGAAGCTGACAACAATGGTACATCATCTACTTGTGCGTTGAAGCCCTGGAGCAAACGAATGACAACTATTTGCACACGAAGCAGTCGAGCAAACCCAAAGAAAAACTTGATTTTTGATTTGTTATGCTTTAGTGTTAGGACATTTACTATATCCGAGTTTTGAACTTCGTAAATTTCTACTGATGTATGACTTCTCGCATGATTATTCGGTTATTTGACTCGTGTTTTTCATGTATCTGCTGTGTGATTTACCTTAATTGTTGCCCATGTAGTGGTTTAAGTATTATGTTTTTTTCTCAGGACCTTTGAATTTGGATGGTTTTCACGTTAATTAACCATCTCGAAAACAGTATTACATAAAATCTGTATTTCTTTCATCAATTCAAAGATGATTATCCAAATGGTGCCAAAAAGAAACATTAACAAAATGTAGAAAAACTTAAAGTCGAAAACCCTCAAATCATCGGATCAAGGACAAGGTACTCAAAGATTTTACAAGTGTGAAATGAAACCAAGTGGTAATAATGGCTTCAATAGGCCATTTTCCTATACAATTTAGCAGCAACTCCACTAAACTTCATTCAAGATTCGTAACTTCGTATACCGAATCAAACAAGCCTCGTCTGCATCGAGTCATATTTGTAGCCTTACTTCATTGTACCCCTCCAACAGTTTCACACCTGCAATTAACAGTTTTTACCGATGCATAAAAATTGCATTATTCAGTTGATTTTCTGTTCTCGACTTCGCGGGCATCAAAAGTAATCAAGAACTCTTATACGTGACTAAAAACTTACTATCATTTGAGGAACTTTAATCAAAACGACTGCCAGAATGTATAAAATGCTTGCAATTATCACAGCTGCAATTAAATTGTGTCCAAGACGCTTATTGTCCTTGGTCGGCACAAATGCTGATTTTAATGTATTTGTAAGTTCAAAAAGCCTGTAAGACACCTGCAAGGTAGGCACGAGTACAATGATACAAAAGGCAAATCAGCAATAATTTTGGATGCACTAGTTTACGGGAAATAATGAACATAATAGAGGCAATAATTGAGAAGAGATGTTACCGCAATGTATATGGAAGCTGTGAGCATGAAATTTAATAATGGGTAATTTGGAATCAGTGAGAGTAACAGCTTTGGCTGACCATTTGGCACACTCGACCTACATTCAATCAGATACAGTTCAACAGCTGAGAATCATATCGAGGAGTGCCAGAAAGAATTT